AGAACAAGAGTCTCTTGAATTTTTACTAGCACAGGCATTATATTCAGCTGGAGTGCCATTTACTTTTGTTGAGAATTCATTTACGTAATAGATTTGATGCAATAAAGCGATAGTAATATAATAAAGTCCATTTGAATGATTTAAATAATTTTTTTTTTATATATAAAATGTATATTAAGGTTAATTAACCGGTTAATTAACCAAATCTTAATTAACCGTTAATTTCCCATCCCTAGTTAGATATAATTTGAACAAATCATTTTTGAAATTATAACTTTATTTGGTGCTTTTTTTTTCATCTCTAAAGCGTAAGTTCTGCGTAATTAAAATCTTTTAAAACGATTATTCAAGTTTTAGCAAAATGTCTGAACCGGCAATTTTTAGATTAAAATGTGCTGTTCAAAATTATGATTGGGGGAAAATTGGAAGTGAAAGTAAAGTGGCAAAATTCGCTCAAGTTTCAAAAGACTTTGAAATTCAACTTGATAAACCATATTCCGAGGTGAATAAATTGATAATTTTCTAAAAATTCTTATATATCTATTAAAATTTTTATTAATTTTTTTTTTAAGTTATGGATGGGAACACATTCAAATGGTCCAAGTGTGATGGCAAAACAACCGACACATTCACTTAAAGAAATAATAGAATCAAACCCAAATGAATTACTTTCATCGGAAATTTCTAAAATATATAATGGAGATTTACCATTTTTATTTAAAGTTTTATCAGTACGAAAAGCCCTTTCTATTCAAGCACACCCTGATAAAAAGCTTGGAAAAGAATTATTCGAAAAATTTCCAAAAATTTATAAAGGTGAAATCAACCAATTATATATATTTATTGAAGTATTCGTAAAATTAGATTTTCTCTTAACATCAAATTCATTATTTGTAATTTAGATCCAAATCATAAACCTGAAATGGCCGTGGCGATTACAGAATTTGAAGCTTTATGTGGTTTTAGGCCTTTAACAGAATTAAAATCAGTCCTTGAAGAAAATCCCGAATTCACCGAACTTATTGGAAATGAAATTTCTTCTCGTTTTTTAAAAACAATTGATGGAAGAGAAATTTCTCAATTTATAGAGGATATCGAATTAAACAAATCAGCTCTTCGTGAATTATTTACCAAAGTTATGACCACAAATGAAACGATTGTTTCTCAACAGGTTGATAAATTAATTAAAAGATTAAAATCGGATAATGAAACTTTTACGATAGGAAGTATTCCTGAACTTCTAATTAGATTAAATGATCAATTTCCTGGTGATGTAGGAATATTCGGTGCTTTATTATTAAATTATGTAAAATTGGATTCCGGTCAAGCCATATTTTTGGGCGCAAATGAACCTCATGCTTACTTATCTGGAGGCAAGTTATAATGCTAATTAACTTTGATTCGCATGGTGACGTTACCGAATGGATTATTCATTTCATTTTTTTTTTTATAGATATTGTGGAGTGTATGGCGACTAGTGATAACGTCATCCGTGCGGGATTAACTCCTAAATTCAAAGATGTTGATGTCCTTGTGAATATGCTAACTTATCGTTATGGAAGTGCCAAATCTCAAATTTTAAATCCAATTCCATATAAGAATCATAAATCAACTACTTTATACGATCCACCGATAGAGGAATTTTCCGTTAGCATGACTCGGCTTAATTTTCTAGAAAAAAGGGAAGTGTTTGATGGAATTCCAGGTCCTAGTATCATAATCGTTATTAAAGGAAATGGATCTATGACAGCTGATGAAACATCAGAATTATTAGAACCTGGAAGTGTATTTTTCGTTGGTGCTAATGTTCCAATTATGATCGAAGCGGCAACAGATAGTGATGGATTGGACTTCTTTCGAGCATTTTGTACTTTAAAATGAGGAGAAAGTGTTTCTTTATTTATTTGTGATCTTATTGAATATATGGTTGCTGTTAGTCCCACATTAGTATTGATCTTGTTGAAAATGTTTATCATAAATAATAAGAATGAATTTAATAATTTCATTGGTTTGATTCGACTGTATAAATTACGCGAAAGTTTTTCCGCATTAATACCTATTAAAGTTAGACGTCACAATCTTTAACTATTAATACATATCAGGTAATATTTTGGGAAACTATATAAGGTAATTAATATAATTAATTTAATATATTATATTAAATTATTAATTTTTGAATTAATATGATAAGACTTATATTAGGTAATATCACATTAAAAACTTGTTTTTCCGCGTGATATCATACAGATCAACAATGACCCGATCGATAATATTTGAATGAATTTTGTCCAAATTTTTCCTCATTGCTCATCATGTTAACTTTAATCAAGATGTTCCAACCTTACGATGCACATCGTTTAATCAACCATGCAAAAGCACGGAAATTGTGCAATTTGTTTCATGTTTATCATGAGGATGATAAAAGCCTTGCTGCAATTTGGGTGAAGAGTGAATATAAAAATAGTTTACCTGCTTAATGTATCTACCTGCTGTTGGATATTTTTAAAGAAATGATTGCATAATTAATTTTTTTTCACGTGTACGATCCTTTCGTATCACATTCGTAATATTTATTTCAACTGCGTCCTTGTCCAACTTCAAATCAGATTGGTTGATGCATCAACCTGCACCTTTGGAAAATAAAGAAGTAAAACCGGAAAACTTTAATTTTTATTTAATCTATATGAATGTTTATGGAATTGATTTTCCATTGTATAAGATAATGGAATTATGTGATTCATGGACAAAATAAGAAAAGTATTGTAAAGTTTGTGTTATTTATGATTTCATTTGCTGATAACCTTATTGATTACGCGTGTGTAATTCAAAAAAAATTGATAAGCTTTTATTTAAAGATTAAATAATGAGAAATCGTGATTTTATTGTTCGGTAAAAACGAATTATTAATTAATTTATTGATTATGGATTAAGGTCAGTTTTTTCTTGGCTAATGTTTGTTTACTGAAATGTGATTCATTTAAAGATAAATTTCATATGATTTTTTAATGAATAATATGTAAAGATGTTGAGAAAATAGTTGTTTTTTACCTTGCATTTCCGAGTGATGCATGACTAATAAAACCTGCATTTAATTTATATAAATTTTATATAACCTTTTATTGGGTAAAATAATCCCACTCTTGTACTCCATTTTAAATCCTTTTTTTTTTTTTTTTTTTATTTTGTTATCGGTTAAAAACTCCGAAGGAAATTTAAAATATCTAACACCTAACAATTACATTTTAAGATTGAAATGTGAATGGTAGTTTCCTGCTCTCCTGATCTTTTATTTAATCGGTCAGCCAGTTTTTAATTAATGCACGACAATCTTCTTATCAGCAAACGGCGAAATCCAATATTACCAAAAGCATTATTTAATATAACTAATATGAATGATGGTGCTTGTCTTCTTGGAAAGGAAAGATAAATAAATTGTTGGAAAAAAATGGGATAAAATTCTATTTTTATTCAGGGTCTTTGGTCCTTTGTGTAGCAAAACAATTCCTCGTTTCGTCACACCAACCTATATAAAACTTTCATTGTTTTTTTCCATGTAACCTCAATAACAATAAAATTTTCCCAATTCTTTTCACCTTCACAACCGAAACAATCCTTCCCCTTTCTTCATCGAATTTTCGTGACACAACCATACAAAAAGTTTACTCCACAAACATTCCGTGATACAAATAGAACGACAACAAATCCTCGTGAAATTTGTGAGCATTGATCAAAGATTTTTTTGATTCATTCAAAAGGGCATGTGCAGTGACGATTATGTATATTTATGACGTTGAATTTAATCTATTTACTATATATGACTTTACTAACACAACAGCCCGAACTCAATTAAATTTATATATAATCACAATAATACCTGCAGTTTATCACTTATTTATTTACTGCATCTATAAGACCTTTTCTCCCTCATAACCTCCTTTTTTATACCTTTTTATTTCTCATTTTGACCCTTGATGCCATAAATATTTGTCCTCATTTTGACAAATAATTAACATAATAGTAAATATTTTTTTTTTCTATTTTTAAAAAAAAATGGAGTGGAAAACCATTAAAAAAATAACGTTTCTTGTATTGGCTTGGGTTTTCTTTCCAATCGTATCGGTCGCAATTTGTAAGTCAACAGTCTTTTTTCTTTGCTTTTATAAGATTCAAAACGACTAATTTCACTATATATATATTTTTTATTTATTTGTGAATAGTCTTTTCCTATTGCTTATGCTGGACTTTCTATCTCTTATATGGTAATTTAATGTTATGTTTAATCATTTCAATAAGTACAAATTATAAATCATTATCCGCAGTAAACGAATTCGATTATATTTAACACAACCAAAAAAATTTGTTTATTTAGGTCAAACTGATGCCCCACAAACACAGTCAAAAGTGCCTTTAAATCCCAAGCGAGTTTATAAGGTAACTACTTACCTCCTCACTTGTCTATACGAAAATTTGACGGGTCCGTTTATACCGTCAATACTTCAATATGGATGGCACAAGTTGTCAAGTGAAAGAAAGAGAACATCCGTAAGGTAATTTCATCTTCCAAATTATGTTCAATTGAACTCCTTTTTTTCAAATGACTCATTCATTTTTTGTGAATTCATATCAGGAAAAATATTCGTTACGGTCCTGGTCATCGAAATCGTTTGGACATTTATCTTCCTGATCGCGTCTCGACCACGGTATTTATGAATAATAAAATATACAATGACAATATGGGACAGCCCGCCTCCCATTCTACACCTATTCCAAACCAGCAACAAAATGATACTCCCGTTATCATATTTATTGGAACATCATGGAATTCTGGTGAGTTATCTCTCTATTTCAAGAAAACGCGACGCGATTGATTTACTGTCTCATGAGGCTAGTTCCATTTAGTCGATCAAGATGATCATCATTTACGTAAACATCACATGTATCATTCATACCTATTCTTCAATTTAACAGGAAACAGAGCGACTTGTATGCCAGTGGCTCATAATCTTCAAAGTCAAGGATATATTGTGATCGTTCCTGATATAACCCTATATCCGAACGTATGTATAAACATTTGCTACCAATAATTTTATGTTGCAAGATTCATCAAGCTCATGCGATTTTCATAAATTTGGCACGTGATTTTAGGGAAGGATTGCTAATATGGTTGCAGATGTTCAAAAGTGTATTAGTTGGACACATACTCATATCAGGTATATATCTTAATTGTTTGTTACGATATCAAGCATTTTAAATTAATATAATCTCATTTTGGAAATTAGTTCATTTCGAGGCGATCCCTCCCAAATTTACCTTATGGGTCATGGTGCTGGCTCGCTTTTATCAGCTTTAACCATCGTTCACGACGCCTGTGCCACGTTAAATGTTCTTCCTTCTAATAACACCGACGTAAATATTCCTGTATGGGACAACATAAGAAGGACTACACTACCAAGAGTTCAAGGTCTAATATTGTAAGAAATGCTTTTATTGTTCATGTGATGTGATTCGTTTTGAATTGTGTTCAATTTATATTTAGTAAGATATAATCTGTTTAATTAGATTTTCGGGGGTATACGATATAACTTATTATTACGCGTATTTATATCAAAGAGGTATGAGATTCGTAAAAAAAAAAAAAAAAAAAAATTACTATCGGTAATATTGAAAGACTAAATTCAACCCGAAATTTTTTTTAATACGTGTAGGTCTTGAACAAGTTCATGCCTTACCAAGAGTTATGGGCAATAAACCCGAAGCTTTTCTTCAATGCTCACCAACATATTTATTAAGCCATGCACTCGATCGTGTTCAAAATATCGAACAATTAAAAGCGTTATTACCACGTAAAGTAGTATTAATTCATGGAGAACAGGTACGGTGATTACAAATATTATTTTTTAATCTTAAAGCTTTTTGGATAAATTTTCTTACACTTTTTCCTTCATTTTTTAAATAATATTATTTGCCCAGCAGGATACTTTTAGTCCAGCAATAACAGCTCGTAATTTCTATTTCTTACTTGATTCAGCAGGAATTCCATCAGTACAACTTAAGATATATAATAATATTAAACATATCAGTCCAAAAATTGATCTTATTGTTCCAACCAAATCTTTATGCGTAAAGTTATTAGAAGATGTTAAAGAATGTTGTAAAGGACAAGGTGAAGTTGTGATTGTTGGCGGTAAATTAAAGGAGAAAAGAGATGAAAGTGAAGAAGAAATTATTGAGGATAACGTTAAGAGAAGAGGAAGTTCAAGAAGAAAGTCTCAAGTTAGACGTTAATAATAATAACCAACGATTTTAAATAATTATATATATATATATATTTTTAGATGAGATAATATTAGAAGGAGAGTAATGTAATTGAAGATTGGATGAAAATTTATTATTATTCTTTATTTATAGACTTTTTATAGAATTTACATTTATAACACTAATTTTTATATGTATTTTTGTATATAACCTTAAAAAAAATTCTTTACATTACATTGAAAAAAAAGATAGAGAAAAAATTATAAGTCCAAATATATATATTTTTTTTTTGTTAAAAATATTAATAAAATTTATTATTATATTTTTATTTTAATTAATTTTAAAAATATTATAAAAAAAAATCAACGATTTTTTTATTTAACAATATATTAACGTTTTTTTTTTTGATTATTATTTTTATAATTATATTAGATTTATTTAAAAATATTAAATAATCTATAGGAAAATTTAATATTTTATTAAAATATTAATCATGATGATGATTTTATAATTATTAAGATTTATTTAAATATAACCAGTTGTAAATTTTTGTATGAGATAATATTAAAATTTATTATTAATACCATTTTAAAGTTTGTAATTTAAGTTGCAACCAATTATATAATAATTAAATCAAATACAAATACTATCTTTTAAATTATAAACTTAATTTATAAATTATATATAAATATTTCTAAATATTTTTAAAATTTTTAATTAAATTAAAATATTTTAAATTATTTTTGTAAATACAATTAAATATATATGCTAATTGTAATATATTAATAAATAAATAAATAAATATTTTATATAAAATAATTTTTATTTTTCAAATTATTTAATAAAATAAAAAGTTAAAATATAATAAGAAAATTTTAAAAAATAAAAATAAATTTTCAAATACTGTTTTTTATATTACTTATAATTTATTGAATAATAATAAAATATTTAAATAAGTTTTTATATTTAATTTAACTTTAATTTGATACATATTAAAGAAATTATATTTCCAAATATCAGTATTTCAAATTTTAATTTCTCATATTATCTTAAAATTAAAAAACAAACATTATTGAATTTAAATTAGATAAATTTATAAGATTTATTAGTAAACCTAAAATAATGTAATATAATAATTAATCTGCTATTTTTAATTATTTTTTTAATATTAATTAACTTTTAAATAAAAAAAAAACCTTCAAAAATTATCAAATAGAAAAATAGCGATATTTTAATTAAAAATTATTTAAAAAAATAAGTATTTGTAATAAAAAAAAAAAAAACTCAAAAATTTTTATTTACATTAATGTTAAATCTAAACTTATTTTACTAAAAAAATCTTATTTAACTTATCTATATAATGTGATAATAGCTACCATCAACTTGGTGTAAAATAAAAGTATAATAATTATAGTAGATTAAAATAAAAAATATATAAAATATATAGTATAAAAGTATTGCAGTAAAAAATATAAAACTAAAAAATTTTTTTTAAATTAATGTAATGATCATAGTCATAACTAATTTTTTGATCATTAGCTGATTTGGTTATTAGCCAAAAATAATTGATCAAAATGCTAAATATCACAAATTTTCATATTATTATCAATTAAAAATTCACTATTAAAAAGTTGATCTAGCAAAAGTTACTGAAATTAATTTTATGTTGATCATAAAATTAGATGATCAACATAATTTCTGATTTTTTGGATTCTTAGAATTTATCTGATTTACTGAATCAATCTAATAAGCCTTATAAGCTAGATAATTATTATAATGCTTATTCTCATTATTTTAATTATTATTGCTATTTTTATTATTTTTATTATTATTATTATTTATATTATAATTATTATCTTTATTATTATTATTATAATCATTATATTAGCACTTGTAATTACAAATTTAGCTAGTTTATAACGTAATAACTAGTTAGCCATAGCAAATTAATTTTGTATGAATAGGATAGTTTTTTGCTCAAGTTGTAAATTAATTCTATTGTGAGTTTCAGTTTTATTAAAAGTTCAAGTAATAAATAAAGAAATCAACTTTGAAATATAATTACTTTTTCCTTCTATGTGTCTATTATCTAGAATTTGATTGTGAACTAATATACTAACTTGCTTTTAAGTTCATACTTTAGAATAAATAAATTCTCTATGTTTTTCTAAATTTCTAAATCTTTAAGTTTGTAAAGTTAAGCGAAGTAATTCCAAGGCATTTCAGATACCTGTAAGATATGAGATTTCCTAAGATTAAAAAGTTCAATAATAAGGAACTTACTTACTATAGTAAAGTAACTTAGTGAAATACATACGATAGAAGAAAATTATTCCCAGTGACAATATATAAAAATTAAAAAATTAAAAATACACAATTTTGACCAATAGAACTTTATTTCTTATGAAATAACCAATATTTGATTCTTTATGACTAGATAGATCAAATATGCTAAATTTTATTGATTTCAAATTATTCAATTTTGATATAATAGCAATTAAATATCAAAATCCAAAACTTTTTATTTTATGTAAAATTTATTGAATTATAATTTTAACTGATAATTTAATCATAATTGTTTTAAGATTGGCTAATCAAAATTAATTAATTATAGTCCATTAGATTTGTTATATTGTGAGAAATAAAGCAATATTAATTAAAATCACATATTTTTTATTTTTTAATTTTTATATATAAAAAATCATATAATATACTATTTTGACATTTTTGATATATTTGTCTATATCTCATAAAATATTTATTATACATTATTTAATACATTTTATTATAAGAATTTTAATAAGCTATATTTCATTTTTGTATAATTATTATTTATTAATTTATTGGTATTTAAGTTATTTGAATTAAAATTATCAGATTAGTATATATAAATATATTTTGATCAACTAAAACTTAAAAATATTTTGGCCAATTTAGCTGTATCCAATAGGTAAATACTAGCCATATAATTAAATGTTAACTCTTAATTAATATTAAATCTTAACTTATTTACTAAAAAAAATTATATTTAAAGTAAAATTTTAATTTTTTTAGAGTTTCATATCTTTTTATTGCAAATTATTATATGTAATTTTTATATTTTATTATATCATAGGATTCTAAAACATTATTATATAATTTATTTAAATTTTTGCTATTTTTTATATTTAAAAATTAGTTAAACTATTTCTTTCTTTTTATTAATCATATGTAAAAAAAGTAGTTTTTAAGTAACAGTAATATTATTTAAAAAAAATATATTTTAAGTACTTTTATTATAAATAAAGCTCTGCATGGGCCAGCTCGAGCTGGCTTACCATCAGCTTGAGCTGAGTCAAATTATTTTAGCTCGCAAGTCAGCTCAACTCAAGTTTAAAATGTGGTAAGCTGAGCTGACTTATATGGCTTACATTATTAATAAAAATCTGAAAAAAATTTCAGAGTAATTGAAAAGTTCCGGAAAGTAATTTCCTTCAAGAGAATCGTCTCAAAAATAGTTTCCTTCAAGAGAAACATTTCCAATTTGATTCTCTTGAAGCGAAAATGCTTCTGGAACATTTTTTTTAAGAATTACATTTCCAGAGAGTCATTCTTTAAGAAATTTACTTCTGGAGTGCTTTTCTTTAAGAATTTTGCTTCCAGAAGCGTTGTTCTTTAAGAAATTTGCTTCCAGAGCACTTTTCTTTAAGAATTTTACTTCCAGAACGCTCTTCTTTAAGAATTTCACTTTCAGGGTGCTTTTCTTTAAGAATTTCGCTTTTGGAACATTGTTTTTTAAGAAATTTGCTCTAGGAGCGTTTTCTTTAAGAATTACGCCCACAAATTGTTTTTTCTTTAAGAATTATACTCCTGAAGCTTTTTTTCTTTAAGAATTACGCCTCCAGAGCATTTTTCTTTAGAATTATGCTCTGGAGCAATTTTTTTTAAGAATTTTGCTTTCAGAAGCGTTGTTCTTTAAGAAATTTACTTCCAGAGTGCTTTTCTTTAAAAATTTTACTTCCAGAATGCTCTTCTTTAAGAATTTCGCTTTCAGGGTGCTTTTCTTTAAGAATTTCGCTTTAGGAACGTTGTTTTTTAAGAAATTCGTTCTAGGAGCATTTTTCTTTAAGAATTATGCTTCAGAAGCATTTTTTCTTTAAGAATTTCGCTCTAGGAGCATTTTTCTTTAAGAATTACACTTCTGAAGCTTTTTTTTTTTAAGAATTGCGCTTCCAGAGCATTTTTTCTTTAAGAATTGCGCTCACAAAGCGTTTTTTTTAGAATTATGCTCCAGAGCATTTTTCTTTAGAATTATGCTTCTGAAACGTTTTTCTTTATAAACTACGCTTCTTCAGCATTTTTTTTAAGAAATACACTACTAAAGTATTTTTATATAAGAACTACGCTTCCAGAATGTTTTTCTTTAAGAAATACACTTCCAGAGCATTTTTCTATAAGAACTACGCTTCCAGAATATTTTTCTTTAAGAAATACACTTTCAGAACGTTTTCTATAAAAACTACGCTTCCAGAGCATTTTCTTTAAGAAATCCGCTTCCAGAGCATTAATAATATGAATTGACTTATAGTTGATGCAGAGTACAAAATTTATATTTATTTAGTTTATTTAATGAAT